ATCCCAGGACCCTGGGATCATGACCTGAGCCGAAGGCAGTCGCTTAACCAACTGAGCCACCCAGGCGCCCCACACACGTCAGAGTATTAAGAGGCAAGGGCGCACGAATGGCGGCAACTTAGGAGCATTTCATTTTTAAAAGTACATATTGTGTATAGAGAGAGAAAATACAAATGAATGATAAAGTGTGTTAAAATGTTAACAGGGTGAAGGGAAGTCCATACACTGTTTTTGCAAATTAAAAAAAAAAGAAATTTAATATTGTTAAGTGGAAGTTAACGAAGAAATCTACTTTCAAGTAAATGGCAGCGTGTGGGAAGAATCCTTTATAAAAACTTGAGAATTTTCTCAAACTCGCCTCACTTGCACCTTCCCCTGGACGCCCCCCTGTCTCTGCTTCGCCTCCTCCTGGCGCTACTTCCTGCTTTCATCCCCGGGCTCACCACCCCTGCGGCACTGTCTTTTTTCATTTACCCTCTTTGGCAAATTCCTTCAATCCAGAAGGTCCTTAACTCTTTAGAATTGTGGAAATGATGGTATTTAAAAGGATTAACCAATGATCCTAAATGAGTTTCATTCCTTTGCTTAATTTAAAACGGAGGCAGCTTCACTGTTTAAGGAACATGTTCTGTTTTTGTCTAGCTCCTCCCGACCCCCAAAAACAGCAGTGATAAAGATATTTTTAAAGGAGCTCCTAAATCCAAATTACAACTTGAGATTTAGGGTCAGAGAGACTATATATGGTAATGAGACGATGTGAAGTGCTATCAAGGATGGGAGGGGAAGGCCCTCAAGTCGCCAAAACAAGAATAAATAACAAAGCTTCTGAATGAAATAAAGAGAGCTTTTCCCCCAGCTTTTCTAAACAAGATTACATTATATGCCTCAAGATATTCCTGAATTTGTACCAACTGTGTTTATACTATGTTTATAAATACTCTTTGTATTTATTAGGAGGTCCTTCTCTTTGGGGAACTTTATGCTTTAACTATTCCTGGCCCAAATTCAGAATAACTGGAAGACAAATACAAAATAGCCTATAGTGGGGCACCTGGGTGGCTCAGTTGGTTAAGCATCTGCCTTCAGCTCAGGTCATGATCTCAGGGTCCTGGGATCGAGTCCCACGTCAGGCTCCCTGCTCAGCGGGGAGTCTCCTTCTCCCTCTCTTGCTCCCCCTGCTTGTGCTCTCTCTCTCAAATAAATAAAATCTTCAAAAAAAAAAAAAGAAAGAAAAAAGAAAATAGCCTATAGTAACCATCTAAATATTTCACAACACTTAACGATAACACCAAGTCAGATTTAAAGCACTAAAGGTCAAAACTGGTACTTTGTTGATTATTTGACCTTACATATCTATACATACATACACTATTGCTGAAGATGTTTTTGTACAATAAAACAATCTAGTGTTTGGGGTTTTTTTTTTAAGATTTTATTTATTTATTTGAGAGAGAGCGGGGAAAGGAGCAGAGGGAGAGGGACAAGCGGGCTCTGCACTGAGTGCAGAGCCCGATGCCAGGCTCAGTCTCACAAGCCTGAGATCATGACCTGAGCCGAAACCAAGAGTCGGATGCTTAATTGACTGAGCCAATCCAGGTGCCCCTCTAGTGTTTTTATGTGAACTGAGAACCTATTAAGCTAACTAACAGGTATCTTACTTTGGCTAGCCAATCTTTGATAATGTGGCTGCCATTCTGCTAGGCTGGAAGTCTCAAAATTTGCCAGCAGGTACCATTCTAAGAAGCCGGGTTCTCTGGGAGGCAATACACAGGGTAAAGCAGGCAGGCAGGTATCCGTGCTGTTCAGACACTTCCTTGTCTGCAGCAGAGCAGCGGGGCTGAGGGGGGTGGTGGGGGGAAACGCCCAGATCCCCAAAGGAGCAGTCTCCTCATTTTCCTCCTCTCAGCGTATTCCTAATTAACTCAGCTTTGTGTCTGTTATGAATAGCTTCAAATGGAAAGGATCCAACTCCACATTCTTCTTCATTATGCATGGCTTATTAAAATTGAAGTTTCACTGTTTCCAACTCAACCAAATTGATGGTTCAAACTGCTGTGTGCTATGAAGAGTGAAGCATTCGTTTAAAAGATGGGATCCAGATAAAGACGGTCCGGATCTAAACCAGAACAGGCTGGAAACTTCGAGGCTTTCAGTTCCAAACTTACCGTGTGAAAGTCCTGGGGTCTGTCTGGGAAGATCCTAACCTTTCCATGGGGCAGTTCCCCAATCTGCCAGGCCAGAACGACAGCAGCTACCTCCCTAAGCTACCCGGTACTGAAATATCAGAGTTGTGAAGAGAGGCCCTTCCTGGTTGGGAACGAGTTTCCCATTCCCAAACAATGGCAGCTGTCTCTCAGAGGCTCATTCTGCTCAAAAGGAGAGCGTATCTGACTGAGCTGCCCAGAAAAGAAAATGAAAATCTGCACTCCAGCCCCTCCAGGATTGGTACCTGCTCTTCTTCAATCCTGCGCTGTAGTGTTTCAATGTAATGCTGGACGGCCATATAGATGAATCGGTACTGTGCTTCTGTCTGGACCATCCCTGACCTCTGAGACCGCACCATCTGAATGGTTTTGGGAACATCGATGTCACAGTCGACGCCTGCAAAGCAAGCACCATGAGGCACTAGGAGAAACCGCAGCGCCGGGATGAAGTGGTGTAATGCACAACTTTTAGTAGACTCAGAAATAGAGCAAATTTAGTCTTTAATGTTCTAACTGAACGTGTTCCAATGGCTACAATGGCCTTCTAACCGATACAAATGATTCCAGAAAATTACCTCAGAAAGTGTCGGAGGTCGGGACCCCCTCACTTTCCAACCCCATAACGTCCAGCCAGGATGAGGTGGGTGGGCAGAGACCACCGAAGCACATTCAACAAAAGTCCCCGGCAGTGGAACCCATAGCTCCTAAGCTTTATTTTATGTCAAAAGCTCAAATAGAATCAGTTTTGTTCTCTTGTAAACATACTGAAAGTCAAAGTCTTCAGCCCAGATTTTGTGAAAATGTTTTAACATTCAAATTCTCTCCCCCGGGCTATTTTCACTAGCACATAAACTAAAAACAGGAACTATCGCTTCTTGCCCTCCAGATGACCTACCTTTCTCTCTGATGATGTCAATAAGGATATCAATCACAATGAACGTCCCTGTCCTGCCGATTCCAGCACTGTGGGCAGAAGGACAAAGAGCAATGACAATGGAGTCGTTCATGGGGGTTTCAGACTCAAAACCAAGCTACTAATATTAACAGAAACAATGTCTGCTCTTGGGAGTATTTATAAAATTGTCTATTTGAATAGATTAGCTAAGAGCACAGGGCTTTGGAGTTAGTCCAACCTATACTTGGAGCCCAGCTTCTCCAGTACAACGTGCCTGAGGTAAGTCCCATACCTCTCTAACCCTCAGTTTCCTCGTCGGTGAAATGGGGATAATGGTACATACTTCACAAGGTTGTTGTGTGGCTCAAATGTCAGTAATGTATGGAAAACACTAAGCTCAGAGGCTGGAATGGAGCAAGTGCTCAATAAACAGTAGCTTTTAAGAAAGCGAATAGTTTCACACACAGCTACTTGCCCAATGTATGGATGAGCTTTGGGAAACTAAACTTTCCCCGGTATAACCACGAAGCCCAGACTTGGGTGCCAGCAGGCTGTAAACCGTGGTAGAGGCCACGGGCGGGGCTCCAGAGCCTGGGTGGGGAGTGGTCCAAATCTTTTGAAGCAAACAAGTGTCTTATCAGGGGGGGAAACGTATCCTATTTCTGTGGCAGAAGAGAACAGGATCACAATCAAAGCGATGAATTCTAAATCACCATATTTTTTTAAAAAAGCAAAAAACACAAGCAGACATTACTAGACTATGTAAGGGCTCCCTGAGGATAAGGATCAAGTTCACCACCCTCTGCCCGGCCACCGCCAATACCTGGCAGTCCCGTAGGACCCATGAGAAAAATACTCTGGGGTCAAAGTGTCCCTTAATGCAGTTTATGCATGCCTCAAACAGAGATTAAATTTTTTTCACAGTTCAAGAAGCTGGGGTGAGTAGGTAAAAGCAAGCCCTAGTGGCATTAAGAGCTGGGCCAGGCTGCTGCCCAGAGAGGGGGCAGGGGCCGGTCACCTGCAGTGAACTACCACAGGCCCTGCGTCCATAATGCTCTCTTGCTTATGGTGGACCTCCTCCAGGAAGTCCAGCACGCCCCCAGGGTCACTGGGCACTCCGTGGTCCGGCCAGGTCCGAAAGTGGTATTGCCACACGGTTCTCTCTGTATTCCCCTGGAGTAGAGCCAAGAAAAACCAGAAAAGAATTAAATAAATCAAGGGGTTGAGGAATCACCCAGCTCTGATCTTGCCCAGACCTGGGCCAATGGAGCAGGCCAGCACCGAATCTCCTCACACTCCATTTAAAACTCAGAGGAGTTTCCCAATCACGTCTCCTTTTGGAACTGGCTGAGCAATCCTGAAGGCAACTCTTTGCCTCTGTCCTAAGAACCGAAATGTCCAGTTCAGCAATTAGCTCCTCAGGAAGCTATAACCTGAGTCACCTTTCTGAATCCTCGGTAGCAGGCAATGTCCCCGTTCCTCGTCATCTGTGTGTAGTCCAACTCAGGGGGCAACTGAAGCCTCTGGGACCTGGGGCTCTCTTCCCAGCAGATGAGAAAACAACTATCCTCTCAAGACACGTGTTCCTCTTTGTCTTTTTACACCCAGCCCTCCTCCCCTCTCCCAAAACATCCACTTCTATTATTACATCATAGTGTTTTAACCTTCTGTTCAATGCAAAGTAGATAGAAAGACAAGCTTTGTGATCAGAAGGCTGGGTTTAGGCCCAAACCCCACCATTCATAATCACTGTGGTCTCCAGACATCTCTAAGCCTCAATTTCTTCATTTGCAAAGAGGAATAATAATCTCTCTTGCAACACCACTGAGAGGGATTAAACAAGACCAGTTAAACACACAGCCACTCCTTGGCAGCAATAAGAGACTCAGCCACCAGTGCTCTCCTGAGGAGAGGGATCATTAACAAAGGTCAAGACTACAGAAGACCAAAAGCACCACGTTCTGGGTCCACCCAGATGAGGTCGCTGTAGCAGCACTGTTGACTGCCCCATCTTTGTCCTCTGTAGCTGAAGGAAATCCAAGCTACTGATGTTTTTAAAGGAGATTTAAAAAAGAAAGAAAAACGAAGCCAGTGTCCACTACCAGTGACCTTCAGGACATCCAAGGAATCTGAACCACAATTAAGATCTTTCCGTGAATCACGTGCATTTAATTTACTGATGTCACGATAAAAATTTTTCTTGATGTTACCAGTTAGCTAAAACTCAGGGGCTACACAGGAAGGACAGTCAGGGAAGGAGAGCCAGCTGCCCAGCACAGCCCTGCTCCTCCTCCTTGGTAAATCTCTGTCCCAGGAGATCTCTGACCCAACCCCTCCCTACCAGGAAACTTAACGAGATCATGTCACAGCACTTTAGAAAAAAATGTAATGTGTTCTATAAAAAGCAGTTAACATGTAACCAATAATTCTGGAGAAATCACCTGTTCTATGACGGCACCTGAATCCACGGGTATAAAACACAAACCCAGATGCCAACATTTCCTGTACCTGATGCTTAAAAACCACTGTTAGCACTAAAACTGAAGAAACATCCACCTGCTACTCAGAAACACCTGATAACAAGCAGATGGGCGGTTTAGCCTAAAACTGAACAAACCTATGTGGAATCTCTGGCCAGTGTCCTCTAAATCTCTTCCATTTCTGCTTGACAGCTATGTTTTCCCAGCCTCTCTCTCAGTCTCTGCAGCAGAGTAAACCTCCCCCTACCCCACCGTCAGCAGAACCGCACCCCTGCTAACATGAGAAGTTCCAGCATCCCACCCTGGGCCACAACCGCCCAGGCTTCTAGCTCGCTTTGGTCCCCTGACCACCTCATGGAGCTCAGCAGACCAGTGAGCCCTCTTCCACTCTCCACCCACCTCCTCCTGCCCCCACTGCTCCTTCTCGGGCTTGGAGTCTGCGTACTACTTTTTTTCTTTTTTCTTTTTTTTTTAAAAATTTTTTTTTAAAGATTTTATTTATTTATTTGACAGACACAGTGAGAGAGGGAACACAAGCAGGCGGAGTGGGAGAGGGAGGAGCAGGCCCCCCACCGAGCAGGGAGCCCGATGTGGGGCTCGATCCCAGGACCCCGGGGTCATGACCCGAGCCGAAGGCAGACGCCTAACGACTGAGCCACCCAGGCGCCCCACTACTTTTTTTCTTTTTAAGTAGGTTCCACGCCCAGCATGGAGCCCAACATGGAGCTCAACCAACTGAGCCACCCAGGTGCCCCCCCCCACCCACGGTGTACTATTCTGACAATCACCCTCCACTCTCTCTCCATCCACTGCACCCCTGGACAAAGCCCCAGGCCTGGACAAAACCAACCACCCACCTTCTCTGTTTTATACCCGAGGAACAGTGTCCTTGGAGAAAAATCACACCAGGGGATTGGTGTCGCTAAATGTTCATGTTCACCAGCTCAACTGGGCATTCAGCACTGCCTGAAAACTCACTGGATTCCTCATCACCTCTACCCATTACTACTGGATACTTTTCCCACTTTCCAAGGATAATTCGTCTCTGATTCCCTTCGAATGCCAGTTGATGGCCTTGCCTCATAGAGAACATTGAGAAATTGCACGTCGGCTCCTCTATCTGCATCTGTGGTCACCTCCTCCTCCTTCCGTCCTGCTGCCATCCATTCATCCACGATGCACTGGAGCCCACCTCCCCTCCTCGGCCATTCTCCATTCCTGCCTCCCTGGCCTCTTCGTTTTGATGTCTCAAAGGCATCTCACACTTTACCTGTCCAGGAGGTGTTCACCCTTCCCTCCCTTCTCAAATCCAGTGCCACCAACCCCACGCTCAAGCTAGAAAACTGGCGGTCATCCTTAACGCCGCCCTTGCCCCTCGCCCCCCATCCACACCGTCACCAAACCCTTCCCACCTACTCCTGTTACCTCCAGGCGGTCCTCTTCTGTCCACGGCCCTGCCACCACCGCACCACCTTTCACTTGGACGATTCAAGCCCTGCCTTGCTGCACAGCTTCTGCCCGCTCCTCTGCCCTCACCGCAGGGCCACTCACACTGCGTTTGGTTCTCCCCCCTCCTCCTCCAACGGCCCAACCATCCCCACGTCCTGCAGGTGCCGCCTCAAGGCATCTGGCACATGGTCGCTCCTCTTCCATTTATTCTGGCATTTTGTGTAATATTCATTTCCAAAGGCAGGAATAAGGAAACAAACAAACATTTACAAACAAAAACCAAGTGCTGGAGGCCCTGGGATCTGACCTGGAGAGGAGGCTGCCAGACCCACACCACCCAGCAGCCTCCTAGCGGGCCTGCTGGCCACTCGGGTCACCTGGCCCGGGCCTCCCCACCCAGGGCTGTCACACACCTTCCTGGCACGCAGCTCTGTGTGTGCGTTCTCCTGGAGGGAGCCTCGGCCACAGGCACCCAGCTGCCTAACGCACAGAGTTCACGGTTCCGAACACGAGAGTTAAGACTCTTCCCGCCTTGGTCCCCATCTCTCTCAAGCTGATTCCCTCGATTCGCTACTTGCCTTTGTTCCCCATAAATCCCATTTCCCTTCAGTCTGCACATCAGGGCCGGGGCTCACAGTGACACCTCCACCTGGGAGGCCCTCTCTCCATCATCTTCTCCAGTGGAAACCTCACCCAGAAAAGCCCAGCGTCTTCTGAAACCGCCTCCCTGATGCCCCAGCCGGAAGGAAGCCCGGCCTTCGCAACATCCCACGGCACGTGGCTCTGGGGCACAGCTGTCTGTGCGTGTGGCTTCTCGCTGCTACACGATTTCAACTCCTCAAAGACTTCATTCATCTCTGGGTCCCCAAAAGACCCTGAAAAAGTAAGCCCCCTCGAACCACAAAATTAAAATGAATCTAAATCTAACCCTGCTCTGTAAAGGCGGTCACCCCCGTGACAAACTTAAACTACACGCAATTAAGATCTGATGCCACAGAATCTGATCACGAAACAGGCCTCAGGGGCTTTGCAGCCGCCGCTCCCGCTGCTCGGAACACTGTTCTCCGGACTCTCTGGATGCCTGGCTCCCCCGCCTTCAGCTCAAGTGATACCACCTCAGAGAGGCTCTCCCTGATTACACCATCTCAAGTACCCAGTCGCTTCTAACATAACTTCCTGCAGCCTTCGCAGACGGAACACAATCAGAAAGCTTAGTTGGCTGTTTACTTTTTAACCTTCTATCTCCCCAGGCTCTTTGGGGGCAGGGATTACACCTGTCGTGTTGGCAATGTACCAGTATGCACCTGGACCAGAGAAGGCACCCGATAAATGGCATGAATGCACACAAACACGAGTAACTGCATGACCTTGGATTACTGCATGCCAAAACCAGTTACCGAAGTCCCTAAAATACGACAATATACTTACTTGTCCAACTTTTGAAAGTTTAAGTTCTCTTAATGTATAGTCATGAGCAGCACTTTCTTTGACGTTCCTAACACGCATGACCCCATATTCTTTTAGAGCATACTCGTCAGGCCAGTATTTGACACATTTACTCTGAAAGGGATCAGAGAAAAGACAGTTAATCTCTCTGAACTCTGAAATTAAAAGCCTAAACCAGAGGAAAATAAATATTTGGGGAAAAAAATTATTCAAGTCTTGCTTAATGAACAATATTCGGAAAATGGCCTGTCTGGCATCTGGTGGATTTTCAAAGAAAAGGAGAAAAAAGTTCAAATAAGAAAAGCAGGTGCATGGAAAGCTTGCAGAGTTGTCTGGTCTAAGACACATGTCAAAGGACAATCAAGGATTGCTCATTTATCTCTAAAGAAGCGAAGATGCAGAGTGAGGGACTAGCTGGTTTGAGGGTTCTGTCTAGCAATCACTGAATTCTGACTTCCAGAGATCTGCCAGTCACTCTGCAGGGAAGGCAAGAAAGCAAGCACTCTGGAGGTGGACGGGTTGCCCAAAGAGCAGACGGTCTGGCTCACTTCCGCACCCATGTAGGAGGACTCCATGCCTTATCTAACCCAAGTGTGAACAACTCCAGCACAGCAAGGCAGCCGGTGGGGTTTTGAACCAGCTGCTTCTTCTATATCCAGATCCATTTGCTACCTACTACACACGTCACCTTCGCTTCCCTGGGTGCCTGGGAACACCGAGCCTGCAACAGCTGCTGGCTTCAGAGCAGACAGACTGAAAAATATGGCACCAAGTAAACCATTCTTGGTACCAAAGAGGAAGATATTGGCTCAATGAGAGATGAGTCTGTATATATTTGGTGTCCTGGGCAGAGAATGTTTTCGTGTTCTGTTTTTTTCTGGGAGCAGACTTTCCACAACCACCAAGACACCAGTATCAGCAAGAGAAATTTACCTCTTATACTAGGAAGACAGAGAAATTCAGTTATAAAACTATAATTAAGAGAGCTGCTGCAGGCATCCCCACAGTCAACGATTAACTGAAAGAAAAAAAAACAAACATGGCAGAAGGAAAGTTGAACAGAAGAATTAATAGTGCAACTTTTTTGCCTGGCAATGGTTTACATGGTCTTTTATTTATTATTATTCTGAATTCAGCTTTCCCTGCAGTATTTGGTAGACCCAAATACCTCTTTGACAGATTTGGTACAATTTTTATTATCCCCAAATAAGCACTTTTAATATTAATTGCACTCAATGCTATTGCTGGCCAATTAATTCTGTGACTGTTGGTTGCTCAGGAGACTCAGCAGAGAACAAAAAATGAAATCTCTCTTCAGGCCCCCAGGTTCCGTGAGGAGAGGTATCCTCCTACGAACCAGATAATAGGCAGGACGGACGGCTCAGTTTTCCTTTCTATACTCAGGACAGGTGACACTCATCTGAAGCAGAAACTAAGAAGACATTTTAACCTGTCCATTAAACACCTCATGTTACTGCAGGAAGGTTTGTTTCACAATGACCGGATCTGGCCTCTAAGGTTTTCAGAAGCATAACGACTAGCTAGCACAATGATGAAAATCCTACAAAATCAATGTGCCCTTCAAAACTGATAGGAAAATTACATTGGGAGCGCCAAACACCAAAATCACCCATCTATCTTAGGTTTAACTTAAAGGTATGACTGCTATATTCCATGCAAATTTTATGTAAACTAGTTAAAGTATAACTACAAAAGAACTTTGACAAAAATGCAGAACTTTTCCATATTAAAAACCCACATGGGGGCGCCTGGGTGGCTCAGTCGTTAAGCGTCCGTTTTCGGCTCAGGTCATGATCCCAGGGTCCTGGGATCGAGTCCTGCCACGGGCTCCTTGCTCAGTCGGGAGCCTGCTTCTCCC